TGGATGACACGGAATGGCAGAACGGAAACTTCAACGCCCATACCACGGATCCTGCTTTATCAGAACAGTCAGGGTCTGAAGGAGTTCGGGTGCGTGGGCCACACTTTGAGTGTACCGGTCACAGCATCTTTGGTTATTTCCTGCCTCTGATGACTATACTGGGCGAGATCGTCGATCTTCATCATGCTCGTAATCACCCCCGCTTTGGCATTGGTTTCCGTTCGGCCAGGGAATGGGATGACCAGCAAGCTGAGATTGTGCGACATCTCGAGGCGTATGAGCAAAGCCTAAAGATATTTGAGCAAAGACATTTTAACGCCAGTTCTGAAGATAAAAACGAACAGTCTGCTACGTTGGAGATGCCGTCCGAACTAGACCAGATCGGCTCGCCATCAGGACGGTCTGTGCATACTAGCTCATCACGCATGACCGAATCAGATATTCAAACCCGTATCGTCATGTCTTATGGCACACATGTCATGCACGTACTGCATATTCTGCTCACTGGAAAGTGGGACCCCATAAACCTCATTGATGATAACGACCTGTGGATCTCGTCGCAAGGCTTCATCACAGCTACAGGACACGCCGTATCCGCCGCAGAAGCTATTAGCAACATACTCGAATATGACCCAGGCTTAGAATTCATGCCGTTTTTCTTCGGAATATATCTACTACAAGGCTCATTCCTATTATTACTTATTGCCGACAAGCTACAGCTCGAAGCTTCGGCTAGTGTAGTCCGTGCTTGCGAAACTATCATACGCGCCCACGAAGCGTGCGTCGTTACGCTAAACACCGAATATCAGGTGAGTGGTTAAGTCCACAATACCGTCATCTTTAGGTAATTAAGCTAACATGATTCCAGCGCAATTTCAGCAAGGTGATGCGTAGTGCTCTCGCCCAAGTTCGCGGTCGCGTGCCCGAAGACCTTGGCGAGCAACATCAGCGCCGCCGAGAGCTTCTAGCTTTGTACCGTTGGACCGGTGACGGTACAGGGTTAGCCCTGTGAGATATATACTCGCAATATAGGTACATATTTTGTTCTATTGTAAATACCAGATAGGTGGCGGGCGTTGGAGATTTTGTTTAACGGCGTCATAAAACGGACTACGCGGAGTGGCTGGCGTCTCGATTTACGGATGGCCAAAATTATTCCCTTGGTGGCACCGAAGGAATCAGGTTCGGACAAAAGGTCAATGTGCAAATGATGACTTGTTTGAATAGGTAGTTGGGGTTGCCTGGAGATGAGCAAGATGTTTTTGATAAGGGGTCTATTATGGACATTTGAAGTCGATAAGAGCAGTTATTAGGGCAAATCACAGGGAGGAGATGTGTTTAGAAGCGTGGAGTTTGAAGGAGGCGGTCGGATAGTTGCGTAGGTACACGTACGAGCCCAATTAGAGAAGAGATTTGATTCAAACTCATCGGGCCCCTTGTCTTAGACCCAGACTAGACGAATTGTGGTCACTAAGTGCATAATGCAGAATGCAGACGCATTGAGTATCATGGACGGTGACATGTCTACTGCATGGTAACGGGTATGCTGTGAAACGTGCCACAGCATTAACGGCCATCCACATCGTCGACGAAGAATACTACCTTAAGTACACATTCCTAAGTACACATTAAATGAGAACGTGCTACCTCTAACTTATCCCCCAGTGAAGACATACACGTGGAATCGATAAGTCATCGGGTACGTTCCATCGGTGGCCCACCTACCATGCCGATATATTGGTTCTGGCCATTGACGCGATGCTCTGCCGTGCTCAGGGGGCTGCCGAGTGCTTATTTTGCCGCGGAGCATACCTAGGTAAACCTCGGTATTATCTACCTTCCTCCTACGGCTGCTGTTTGAGACACGGTATCATGGGATAAGGCAGTTGAAATAAATGCAGCCTGTGGTGTCATGCTCACCACCATGTTCGCCATTCCTTATCTCTGATGAAAGAGAGGATCAGGAGGTACCTAATCTAACGCAGGTACGGCTAGAGTTCTAGAACCACGAAGCCTATGTAGGTAGGTAGGTATTAGTTAATATTCCATATCTAGTAGTGAAGTAGGGTTAAGTCCCAACTCAAGTAAACTTTTTGTTACAAAGAGACGGTTTGCATAATCGTCTCGGTTTATTATGTTTCAACCACTTCGTGAATTATACCTAACTTACCAAAAACAAAAACTCCCGGAAGTCCTTATAAAACACGGTTTAAAGTATATCATAATAATGCTATCATTTATGATAAATATTAAAATTACTTAGTGGGATGTCTGACATCGTATGTAGTTCAGGGGAAGTTAAACTCGCCGGTACTGCCGCGAGTAATACCTACCTATATAAGCTCTATCTACAACATACTCTTTCACATACGACCATAGAATCTGGAGAACTTGGGATCCCGTCCGCTCTCCCCGAAATAAGCCAGATATCGCTGGATTAGTAGTTGGGTCGGTGACGACCAGCGAATCCCCGGTGTTGTATGTTTCCCTTTTTCCTTCTTTGCCCAAATTTTTTTATTCCCCGGTACCTGAATAACGGCCCTATCTAGACAGCCAGGGTGTTATGCTAATTTCTTTTTTTGGGCTACAGTATACCGTTCCCGTTAAGTTCTATTTAATAACATTAGGCGCTGTTTTAACTTGAACGAAACATCGTCTAAACTAGCGCCTTTGGAACGAAGACCCTCCTATTCAATAAGCGCCGCCTAGTGAAGCCTCCACGTGTCGCTAGTATCTAGTATACTGGACTTGGATAGTTACCATTAAATCTCTTGGAATGGCTTACGGCATTCTGGCGACTTTTTTAAGCTCGTACTCCGTTAGATAATAAATACTTCGACTTACAGTATAAGAGACCCTTGCGGGGCTAATGACAGATACTGTAGCTTCTACTTCATTCATATATCTAAATAGTATTATCGAAACCGTCCATTTAAGGCTATATAATAGCTCATATTATGTAGGTACCCGGGGATTTATAGTAACCCATAGGCCGGATAGACATATTATAGTTCATTGCCTCTTTTACCGATGTATGTTTTCTTAATTTGACCCGCCATGTTGGTAGTTAAATCGTTGATGGCGAGTAAGTCTCAGCTATCTTCACTACATACGTCTCAACATCACATAAAATGGCATGAAGCTTGGATCTATCCGGTGCTTTATCTTAGTTTTACTTAGACTAGTTAATTAATTTTACTGTGAAATAACCCCTAATATCGATATAGTGAAATATAAATAGCTCGAGTGTAGCATGGGGGTAAGGTCTTTAAGGGGTGATCTTCCCCTTTCTCTTTTAATAAATAACCTACAACATTGCGTGTAAACATTTTGGTTTTTTGAATTTCCCGCTTCCCCTTTTTTCCTCCTCTAGTAGTCTTGCCTCAGCTACCTCTCTGACAGCTTGGAAATTTGGATATGAAATGCCGTGGTATCCATAATACGACCGGATAACAAGGGGGTTAGCGAGCAAACAACGGAAAAGCTGCGGCTGTGTCGGTTAGGACGGCATTGCGAAGGGTTTGATATCTTTTGCTATTCGTTATTAGAAATTGATGGTTCCGTAAGTCTTTAAATTTTTTTTTTTTTTTAAATTCCCATCACTACCTCTTCGACTTTATTAATCCTGTGTGGGATTTGGCATAATGAGGTTGTATTCCATAAGGTACCTAAGGTAAGTGGCTAAACGTATGATACTTTGGTACTTAGGTACCTGATATAGATGAGATATCCATTTAGACCTTACCCCCGGATACGTACATGTACCCTAGGCAGGGTTCCATGTACGACCCGCGGGGTTGGATTTAGTTATCCGCAACGGCCCGTTCACCGAGTGGCTGGATAGGTACACCGACTGAGGGGTAGCTCCGATAAGGCGTGGCCGATACGAGATAAAAACGGCGGTATTAAAAGTGGACTTCAAATGTTCGTTCATATGCAAAGTATCCAACTCATACGTGTAACATTTCCTATTTCCTACGTAAACTCCATAAACGTGTGCAAGGATGACGACTGAAGAAAGTAAACGTCGCGTTGAAGCGCTAATTCCCAAGTTCCAATCTGAGCGCGTGATTAATCAAGGTGCGTCATGATTGTAATTGAATCCTATTCTCAACAATGCTACCCAAAATGACATCCTCCATATGTGCATTCTCTAGGCCTATAAAAAGGTATGTAGGGTATATAATATAAGAACTAACAGAGCGTAAAAAGGTGAAGCAGGACGGCACATCACGCTATATGGACAAGTCGACTCGCAACCTGCGCTTCTCATACTAGAACGCGCTCCTATTCCCGATGCTGAAGAGTATCTGTCCATTTTGCCTACCAATCTACGCAGCATCACAAACCTAGGCAATAATGATATATATTCGTGGTTCCTAGCCTCGGGAGGACCCATCCTTAAAGAAAATGAGAACGACAAGTTTGCCGACTTCAAGATATCCCTGATATGCCCCTGCACAGACAAGCATATCCAGAAACACAGCAAGCAAGGATACCGTTTCGTGACAGAGACACCTGAGATCTACCGCGACAAGGTGCGGCCGTTTATGCAGATAAATCGAGAAGAGGGCCGATTGAATTGGGTATTCAACATCATCGAAGGGAGGAAAGAAGTCGAAGACGTCATTTATAGAACACCGCTGGGCCAGGATGGGGACGAAGGGTTCTTGATGCTACCGAATTTGCACTGGGACCGAAAGACAATCGAAGCCTTGCACCTTCTGGGTATAGTTGAACGACGAGATATCTGGAGCCTGAGGGACCTTAAGAAAAAACACATCTCTTGGCTGAAACATATGAAAGCCAAGCTGATAGACGCCACAGTGAAGACATATCCGCAGATCGACACGGATCAACTGAAACTGTTTGTTCATTACCAACCAACTTATTATCATTTCCATATCCATGTTGTGCACGTTATGCTGGAGGCAACTTCTACTCAGTCGGTCGGAAAAGCGATTGGGTTGGATAGTATCATCGAACAACTCGAGTCCATGTCAGGAGATGAAGAGGCTGGGATGGACAGTATCTCGATAGGCTACACGTTGGGTGAGGCATCGGATCTGTGGATTGAAATTTATGAGCCGCTTAAGAATTCCGGTAAAGCTTCTCAACCGCAATGACAAGGTCATTAACACCCGGCCCGCTAGCACAGTCGGTCCATTCCCCACCATCTCGAATGCAATATACTTCGTCGTTGAGTCGAACGGTGCAGCTCTTTGTGACACCCGCCTAAGTTATCAGTCAGCTAATATTACTCTTACTCCCAATAATACTACGTAGAACGTACGTCAGCACTCCTCTGGACACTTTCTCTTAACATAGCCATTCCAACAGCTCCGTCATCCCTTGCGGCGCAGTCGTTCAATTTCTCAAAGTCAATAGCGTGCTCCAGCGCACAGTCTTCAACCAGTTCCCGTTGCGGGATCACCTTATAATCCCTCGTCAAGCACATGGTGAAACCGAGATAAATCTTGGGGTCCGGATACAGATGATGCGCGCAGAGTTCGATAATATTGCCCATGCACTCGGTGGGGCCGTGTTTACAGTCGACACCGTCATTTTCGGTCGGCGTTCCAATGTACGACAATGTAAAGTTGACTTTCTCGTTTATGCGCATCATGGCGGGCAGTACCAAGTCTCTAAGACAATCCCTAGCATCGGGGCATTTGCTCATTATGTGCGCCTCTAGAGGGACGAGCTCTGAATCTGTCGACACCGAAACGCTTGAGGATGGCGTCGATGATTGCTGTCGAGAGGGTTCCGGGACGAACATAGCAGCGTATCCGGATACGGCATGGTTGTAACATACCACGTAAAGCGCGTAGAGAGATGCGACGATGAGGGTCATTGCAAGGATCGGTCGGCGTTGACGTCGACAGTGGTTTCGCGTCGCCGGCTTCTCCTCCATTATCGGAAGACTACCCATCTTGGCAGCCATATTCTCTAATCTGGACTATTAATTTTTCTGAAGACTGATAAACAACGTGATTATTAAAATGCTCAACGATGCACCTCGTATAAAAATAGAGAGCAAAAGATAAAAAGCTAAATTGCTATTATTGGATGGCAAATGGCGAAATCAAGTCACGATGGCTTAGGAAGGGATGTAAGTTATTAATCGTGACCAACGTTAGGCACGGGATTGAATTCAAGAGGTGACATAGGGGCTTTCCCGAAGAGCCTCCTGCAGCGGGTCTTATGTAACGGGGTGGACCAGTACATAGGTAGGTAGGTACCTGGAGCTATCGCTTGAAATTGGACCGAGCCGGTTAGTCAGGCGCCGGTTGGTTTTGCTATCTGCTAGTGTACAATACAGATCTGGACCTGCCTTAACCTCAGTTAATCTAGCCTCCGGTAGCAGCGATTAGAATTTGTACTATGTAGCACTTTGCAGCAGCGCGAACCTTACATAATAGGTACCTACATTACGAATTGTACGAAGTACATACATATGTACATATCCCCTGGCTAGGTCCCCTAGTTCAAGTAAACCCTGGCAGTCCCTTCTAGTAGATCTGCTATTACGAGTTTTGACTGGACCATGAGACCTTGGAATTCTGACCCTTTCAACCCACACATCACCATTCGGAATCTAGTCAGGGTTGGATAACGCCGTTCAACGTTACCATTGACTTACCTATTCCACCCAGTTTGTCCGATCTGTCTTAGAAGCGATTGCCTGATGTTTCGATATTATTACATTCACCTAAAATTATCATGCTACACGCACGTTCGCGCATATTTTACGCGTGTTTTCGCCGTCCCTTACCTGCATAAGTCGATACAAGTCGATACATTCAGATGTCCTACCCACTACAGTCCACCAGTCCACTAACCTACAGCGGTACCCAATGAACATCCCTGTAACTGTAACGTTTCTACGTTTCTAGAAATCTACAGCCGCTGATTCGGCACTTCGTTCTGACTCTTACCCTCTTGGAATCAAGTCACTTGAAACTGCCTACGCAGCTACGAACATGATGAACATATATACAGACACCAGTACCATAGGGTAGTCTCGATTCGAAGCTGATTTTCGCAAACTTTCCTTCAAACAAATCTTGAAATATAGGTACCTACCTAATTCTATCCTTTATCCTCTATTAGAGAGCATACGTACCTCCTTCTTTTAGTATCTGTGCTCCGTCCAAAATCGTCTAAATATACCCCATCTCATTCTCACGATCACGACTTGTCAACTTATCGTAGATATGACCTCGACGTCATCACGAAGTCGTCCTACTACCTGACTAACACATTATCGCGTTTTATACCCAACGACACAGAAATTAGATAATGGGCATGCCAATCGCAACTATGAAATCCAGCGTTCAAGACTTTCTTGAGCCCCTCTCCGTTGATGAGGCAAAGGCGCATGCATTATCACTTGAGTTCTACCGAACATTTCAGAACCTATCTGCCAATTCGTTAAACCAATTCCTCCCGACCCCGATATCTGAGTCAATATTACGGCCCACCGCAGGTAGAGAAAAGGGACGGTATGTTACCATATAATTTCCCCACCAATGCTATAGTTGAACGTTCACATGAACTTCGCCTTTAAAGTTTCACTTACTTTCGATCAGTAGGCTAATTTATAGTACAGATATTTAGCTATTGATATGTACGCATCCTGCCAATATAACCTATATACAGCCGGTATCTTGAATTAACAGCTAGCAGTGGTGGTACTAACTTAAGGGTTGGCTTTATTGAGCTACTCGGGAACGAAAAGGTCGTCAATGGTGGTAGTACCAATGGAGACTTGGAGACTTCAAACGGAGAACCGACGTCCAACATTCGTCGATTACTTGAGAAATCCTGGCCGATCTCAGATGTACTTAAAAATGAGAATGCCGATTCGCTGTTCAGATGGATCGGGGCTTGCATTGCAAGAGTTGTACGAGAAGGCTGTCGGGAATTTAACCTGCCTCGCGACCAGGAACTTCCTATGGGGGTTACGTTCAGTTTTCCAATGGTACAGGAGACCTTAGCGGATGCAACACTGATGGCAATGGGAAAAGGATTCGCTATCACCTCTAGGCTACACCTTGGGACTCATTTAGTGAATGGGTATGAGATGTCCAAAACTCCAGACTTGCCTCCTATCAGAGTCGCAGCCATCCTAAACGACTCGGTTGCGACATTGGTCTCCTTCATATACCAATCTAAAGAAGATGAAACTCACAAGGCGGCAATGGGACTTATCTGCGGCACTGGTAGCAACGCGACGATACCTCTTAAGAGGAGCACTCTTCACAAGGACAAGCAACCCGGGAAAGTCAAAGTCCTGGATGAAAGTTCAAGCGATGACATGAAAATCGCTGTTAATACCGAATGGAGTATTAACGGAACAGCACCAGCCCTACGAAAGTTTGACCTGATCAGCCAATGGGATACTCAGCTCGACTCTGAAGGCGAGGCGCCTGGGTTTCAACCCCTTGAATACATGACGGCGGGACGATACCTGGGCGAGCTTGGGCGACTAATGTTACTAGACTACCTCGAGAACCACCTAGATATCCCTTCGGATGCTTTGCCTTCGGGGCTTTTAACACGCTTTGGCCTTACAACTACCTTTCTTAGTCATTTCCGCCCTCCAGTTGCGGAAATACTAATGGAGAAGCTGGAGGCCGAGTTTCCGGAATCGACTGCTAAGGCACCTTTCCGGTGGACGGAAGAAATCGCGGATGTTTTACATAGGATAGCTAAGGCTATTGAAGTCAGGGCGGCCGCTATTATTGCGGCGGCCATAATTGGATTGCTCGCTTGTGCGGGAGATATTCCTATTCGAAATTCACTCCAAGATAAGACCAACAACCACACCGTTAAAACGAAGCAACAATCTAAAGTAGAGTTGATTGTCGGATACACGGGTGGGTGCATCGTCCATTTTCAGGATTACTTAGCAGATTGCCAAAAGTTTCTCGACTCGATAATCCAAGCCGAGTTTGGAGACGCTGCTCCCGTAAGGGTCGTCATGAGCCCTTGTCACGACGGGGGAATCACTGGGGCAGGTGTATTATGTGGTGCCTCTGAAGCGAAGTCCAAGGACGTTGACGTCTAGGATTTTCACATGATAATATAGACTAGGGATGTTCCGGAGTTTGGAGAGGCATACGTTCACACTACCATGGAAAGGAACATGATCATGAGTGCTGCATATCATAGTAGCAGCACATGTATACTCTTATGATAACTAGACAATCGGATGACGCTAGAAATGATATTACTCATATTTACGTTTTAATAAGGCCCGTTTTTGAGCACGCAATACGGCTTAGTGCCTTGGATATCGCCCAAGTGGGCATAGTTGGAGAGAAGATAATTTAACTCGCAATACATATGTACACCAATCTCATTTTTTTCCTTTTTTTTTTTTTAAAAAAAAAAAAAAAAAAAAAAAAAAAAAAAAAACTAGCAGAGTCTAACAATGGCGTATAGCGGTATACGGACCTTTTAACTTTACCTAGGGAATATTAAGCCGTTAAGCACGGTCGTATATTATGAAGCAACGTTAGCGTTACTAATATTTACACATCTCGCGACTGGCTACCTACCTAGTAGGTATACGTAAACGGTATACATAAACTTCACCTCGGGGTCTGACCGAACAATAGTCACGCGGGCGGATAGTTCTGGGGAAACGCTGGAAGACCGAGGATCGGGCACTCCACGGTTCCCCGCATATTTCGGAAACGATCTGCTGCCTCATATGGAACCCACCGTTCACCAAGTCCGTCCACCAGTCTGACCAGTCCACCTTGTACGCGTATGTGCAGTGTAGGTAGCAACCCGCATGTACCACGGTTGGCTTCTATAAGGGGCACCTATCCTACCATACAGTGTTTATAACATACATATCTTCAACATCCATCTAACTATATAGTTCCACCTGCAATGGGGGCTTTTTTTTTCTTATTTTCTTTTCCCTCACCGACTCGTCTGTTCTCTTTGTTTTAAAATTGTCGACTTTTTACTTATAAATGATACTTTCCTCTCTGGACGTGGGAATATAGGTATATGGTATTAATTGCTCTGAAAATACCTTATTTTCAGCGTTGAGGATACCTAGGTACATACCGGGTTAGGCCACTTATATACTTACTTGTCTAAGCAGGGCCTCATTCTAACGACGTCGGGAGTTGTCAAATCCTAGTTAAATCTCTCTGGTGGGTCGACGAGACCAAAGCTTACTACTAGGTACATATACTCAATTTCGAAGAATATATAGATCCTAGCGACTGGAATAATCCCGAGCTAGGTATTCGCCGTCACGATGGACGACGACGGCGAGGCTCGACCGCACGGAAATGGCTCGGGGCCTATTACGGAGCGGACAGCTCTCTTAGGGGATAGGCATTCCCCAAAACCGAGTCCCATTGCGATTCCTCGCGGGGGCAATGATAAAAACCTCATCGCCGACGACGATGACGGCAGCGAGAATGACCTAGACCCGAATGAGTCGGACTTGCTGGTGGCGCGCAGCTTTACGTCGGGGGCGTCAGGTCTGGCGCCCGAATCGTTCGAGTCAGCCATGCTTCGGGGGCGTCGCCGATCTAGGAGCACCATGCGCCGCCGCCGCCGCCGCGCTTCGGTCGCCCGCAGCTTTGAAACGTCGCTGTCGCCGCGGCCTACGCTGGATGGGCAGCAGCAGCAGCCTGACGATTCGCTGTTGTCGAATGTTGTCAGCGACGATGAGGCCGACCTCGAGGCTGCTGCTGATGGCCAGCGTGCCAGGCTGCTACGGCCGGCGTACTTGATAGACACGGATAAGAAGCGGTTCGGAATTGTGTTTTTGAGTATTATGATGACGCATTTTATTGCGTGTTTCGATGGGACTATTGGTATGTATGAAGAATTTCGTATTATTATTATTATTTATTATTTCGAAAATGGTTTGACTTAAAGCGGCTAATACCTGGTCGATAGTAAGTGGGATAACCCCTATCATTCTGACTCTTAATAGAGAACGTCGAAGTAGATATATACCTATATATATATATATATACAACGGTAGGGTTGCAAAGCTAATTTAATGTGCTTCAATATACTAGATGGCATCCTCACACCCGGTTATCACAAGTTACTTCCGCAGCTCCAATAGCGCTAGCTGGCTGTCGACCGCATTCCTCTTGACGAGCACGGCCTTCCAGCCTGTCATCGGTCGCCTCTCTGATACCATCGGTAGGAAGCCGCCTTATCTAGCTGCTGTGGTCATCTTCGCGCTCTCGACGCTGTGGTGTGCTCTCGCACAGAGCATGACGAGCTTCATCCTTGCGCGGGCTGCTTGCGGGCTCGGCGCCGGAGGTGTGCTGGGGATGGGGAGCATTATTATAAGCGATCTGGTGCCTATCGAGTACGTGCCCCTTATTCTTGCTTCTTGCTTCAAAGGCGGATTAGAGATGAAAAACGGCCATCGTGAGTAGATCAATGCTGACTAGAACGAAAGACGCCGAGGTTCATATCAGAGCTATATCAACATTGTTTATGGGTTAGCTTCGGCCTTGGGAGCGGCCTTGGGCGGACTCATGGCAGACAGCCTCGGCTGGCGCTGGGAGTTCGGCATCCAGGTCTTTCCCATTATTCTATGCTTCGTGGTGGCTTCATACGGCATCCCCGGTGATCTCGGCCTGCAGGATAAACACCAGACTTTTAAGGAGGGCATGAAGACGTTCGATTTCAAAGGCTCTATCCTGCTAACTACGTCTACTACATTTTTGATCTTGGGAATAGTAAGTAATGGTCCGTAACTAGGTATTAGTATAAGTTGTATCTGCTAACTGCGATGGTGTAGAATCTCGGAGGCAATGTCTTGCCTTGTAAGTAATAATAATACGCTTTCCCTGATGAGAAAGGGGGGCTTATTATGGCAGTATAGACTAACACAAGAATAAGGGTCGCATCCATTCATAATCGCTTCGCTCGTTGTCTTTATCATCTGCTTTCCGGCATGTCTATACGTCGAGTCACAGCACGAACGACCAATCATGCCTTTAATCCTCTTGCATAAATCCCCAAGGGCTAACATCATCTTCTCCAACTTCATCGCCTCCTTCCTACTAAACGCCATCTTATTCAACACGTGAGTCCCCTCCCTCCCTCCCATGACCCCATACTCGTTTTGCATTTAACCAAACACACGCCTCAAAACCTTCACCATAAGAAATTATGATATCAAGAGTACAACCAACCCACATCGACCTAAACAGCACAAAGGGGAAAAGGGGAGACAGAAAAAAAAGAAAAGAGGTGTAAAAGATCTAATAAGAAACAAACTCGCAGCCCGCTCTTCTTCCAAGCCGTCCTCCTCACCAGCGCCACCACATCCGGGCTCTACCTCGTCGTCCCCGTCGCCACGGCCAGCACCACCGGCACGCTCACCGGCTTCCTAATCTCGTACACCCGACGCCTCAAGTGGCCCCTAACCCTCGGCACAACCCTCTACCTGATCGGCACCGCGCTGCTAGCCACCATGCGCCGCGGCTGGCCCACCTACGCCTACCTCCTGTGCCTGGTGCCCTCGTCCGCGGCCCAGGGGTTCCAGTTCCCGGGCACCTTTCTCGCCGTGCTAGCCGCCTCGGAGCACCGCGAGCAAGCCGTCGTCACGTCCACGCTCGTCCTCTGGCGCGCCCTCGGCAGCGTCCTCGGCGTCGCCTTTTCCTCCCTCGTCCTCCAGAACGCGCTGGTGCGGTACCTGGCGGCGTTGGTGGTGGTGCCGCCCGAGGAGGGCCTGGGCCAGGAGTGGAAAGACGCGCTGATAGAGAAGGTCCGCGAGAGCGTCGAGGCTGTTGCCGCGCTGCCGCCGGGCCCGGTGCGCGACCAGGTCGTTGCTAGTTACGAGGCGTCCATCCGACTTACCTTCCTGTTTCTCGTGGGATTCGCTGCCGTTAGCGCTTTGTTGGTTTTGCCTGTGAAGCTACCGAGGCTTGCGGCAAGGAAGTAGAATATTATATTATTTGGGCACCTAACCTATCTGTAAGTGATCGTTATTGCTAGGATTCTTGTTGTTATAGCTGTTGTATTAAATAATAAATTAATTAAAAAAGGGAAGGGGAAAAAAAAAGGAAGGAAAGGGGGAATATAGCAATTCAGGACCTCATTTCTAAGCGCTTAATTCATTTACATAGTGTTCTGTGTTCTGCGTGCTCAATTGCTCTCGAACCCCTTTCATAGGTTGAAACGGGGTTTAATCTAGGTTACAATAGTCGGTTTAGGTATCCTTTGCTAAATAAAAGCTGTACCATCAAATGTGACCCTTTCTCTCTCTCGACGCTTCTACTATCCTACAGTCGGTAGTGGTAGTACGTAACTATGCGTGAAATAATGTACAATCTATGCAATCGAACCAAGCCAGTTCCCACGGTAAAATTAGTGGTAACCATTGACGCCGTCCACTAAAGCGTCGAGCTCCTCCTTGGTCTGGCGGTACGCTTCCTGCGCCTCACGCTCCCTGCGGCTGACATAGCCGACTTCCTCCCTCAAGGCCTCTAATCGACTCCTGGCAGCGATCTCCTCCGACACAGCCAGCGTTCTGAACGCGCTGAGAGCAAAATTCGCCTTTTCGAAGGCTTCGTATGCCTCGCCCATCTTCGAGCGGAGCGTCTTAGCTCGCTGCTGATACCCGCCTAGATGGAGTGTAAGCTTCTTCTCAAGTTTTGCGCACTTCTCCACGGTTTCCATCGTAGAGTCCTGCACCGCCTATAGAGAAAATATTAGTACGAGTTACCAAAGATATATGCATAAAAGATTTAGGACCACGTTGTTCTACTCACATCGAAAGCGGCCTTCATCGCTGCTACCTGCTCTTCCTCGTCATCATCTTCGTAGCAGCCCAACCCAAGAAGAAGAGCGTTGCTGCCCTCTCGCTCCCAACTTGCCTGGATCTCCTCGGGTTTAGGCTTATTATTAACCTCCATAAGGATCTTTAGTCGCGCCTCAGCCAGCGAGGCGTCATCGATCTGCTGTATTTGGGTAGGGCCAACACTAGATTTAACACCTCGTACCGGAAACTTCACTGCATCATTCGCGATAAGTAAAGCAGCCTCTTTAGCAATTTGAGCCTCGATGGGATCTGAAATCGAGGATGCCTGTTGGATAAGGGCTTCGAAGTTAACTGATTCCGGTCGTGGCAGTTGTTTTTGTATCACTTGAGTTCGTCTCTTCCTCTCTAGTTGCTCCTGGGCTTCCCTAATAGCACGCTCCCGTTGATCCCGCACTGCGGCATCCTCTTCGGTTTCATCCATCATCATAACTTCTCGTTGGTCCTCTGGTATTTCAAGTTCCCATTCTGTTTCTTTCGGTTTGGGTAAGGAAGCGAGACCATGCTTGAGTTGATGCTTCATTGATAAGTCTCGGAGTCGCATATCATTAGTTGATCCCCCTACCAGGGACATATCCCCATCACCAGCGTTCAGCGCGAAGCTATCCCTAGGGGTCCGCAGCGGTGTTTGGCCAGGCCTTCGAGGTGTAGCACCGACTTCATTTATGCCGGTACGTAGAGGCGTAGCTAAGGGATTTGGTGTCGACATTACTTGCTTTCGAGGAGTGGCACCTTCGAAGCCCGTCGAACCGGCCCCCTCTTGAAGATCAATATTCTCCCCCCCTAACAATGCCGACTGGTTCTCTGTAAGCGCCCGAATATTCCTTATTTCGTTGGCGACCCGATCTTCCTGCGGAGGAGCCATAGGTGTTCGAATCGGCGTTTGCGAGTTTAGGGTAGAGTAAGTGTTTACTAGTCCCCTAGTCGCGTCGTTCTCGCTGGCTTGAGCAAGCAGGTTTGCTCGCTCGCCCATCATACCCATCTTGACTATATCCTCAAGCTCGCCATCGCTAACTTGGGGAGATGGAAGAACGAGCGCTCGTCTCTTGCTGCTTTGTTCTGCCTCCCGAATCTTTTGCATTTGACCGGCCTTCAAGGCAGCCTGCATGGAGGCTGAAGGGGCATCCTTATCATTCTTCCGTCTCTTCCTTTCGGCCTCATCATCCTGTTCACCTTTACGCTTGTTCGCAAGCTGCTGCTTCCGAGGGTCGAAAGCGGCTCGTTGCTTCTCGTTTCGTGTTTGTTCATCTGCAGTATCATAAAAACCTGGAGCGGGTGCTTTTTCGAATGGGATGTCGGCATTGTAGTCCATCTGCCCCTTCTTGCGGGTTACCACCTTGATGTTGATGCCAGCGGTCTTGAGTTCCCGGCGTTTCTGTAGAGCAGCAAGCCGACGCGACTCCTCTTGTTGACGCTCTCGAGCCTTTCGCTTTGCCTTCTTTCCTTGCGTGTTAGCCAAGCGAGCACGCGCCTCGCTTAACATCTCCTTTTCATCCTCGTCGAGATCGATGGTGTCAGGTTTCGCGGGTTTGCTCTCGGGATCTGGATCGACCTCGCCTGGTCGTAGTCTTCGTACGTCGTCGGCTGTGGGTGCTTGGGTCTCGCCGCCTTCAGGGCCGGTTAGGCCAAGGCTCGAAGATTCTCGTTGTTCGGCTTCATCGAGGAGTTTCTGGTAACGTTCCAAACACTGGTTTGCAGTGCGGCCAACGATAGGAGCGATTGTCCGCCATTGAGTTGGCATCAACTTGGCCAAATGAAGCAATCTCTCATCCTCTTCCTTGCTCCATTCTATCTTTTTGATGCTGGGATCGAGCCATTCGTTCCATCTGGCTTTGCATTGTTTAGGCGTCTTTCGCGGTAGCAATGACGAGACACGCGCCCATTGATTTAGACCATATTTGGAAACAGAAACTTTGAGAATTTCATCCTCGATATTAGTCCACACTCCTCCCTTAACAACCGGCATCCTGATTATATTCGCGTTCAGTATCGCGACTTTAGGTAGGAGGTGGGAGGTGGTTGAAGGTTGCGACTATAGACGTTAGGTAGTAGATGCTTTGAAGTAGCCAGCCTCGTTAGAAATTCCTTGTTGCGAAGGCGACGGATGATAAAAAGCCTTGGCGCGAAGCTAAGAGCTGCGATAAAAGCTGCAGGTGAGCAACTAAGGAAGAACCGGCAAAATATCGGGTGGCTTAGCAGCTTAGTAAATGTCTCCACCTTTTACATTTTCATATATCAGCATATACCAAGTATCGCATACATGAATACCCAAGTTTCAATTCTTATTAGTTAACGCATTCTGTATGTAACTTCAACCCCTTTTAATCTCGGGAATAGGTGATCTTGAACCCAGGTTAGGACTAAACATCGATGACGAGATGGTGATATAGAAGTTATTAAAGTCATAACTAGTTATAACTATAAGATATCTAGAACAAAGGATAATATCGGTACGCACAGTCATAGTCATTTCTGTGCTTTATTGAGTCCTCCTAGAGATAGAAGTTGAGTATCTTCGACAATATTTAAATCGTCGTTAAAAGGAATATACCTAATATTTACTGGAGTTGAGAATAGGAAAGTAGCAACAAGCTAGCTGGACCAAATATAGAAAAGACTCTGATATAAATCCAAAGGTTGCCAACCTACTTGCTTATTTGCCGGGATAGTAGCGAATATACAAACCCGTCTCCTCTATACTATATACAATGCATAAACTTGGCTTTCTTATTGATTACTGTTCGCTAGCCAATAAATAGTTTATCCAACTTTCATTAGTATTAAATAAGCCAAATGAGTGCAACTCTAGATCACTCATACTATGTAGGCCCCGCCACCTCCTAATCCCAACCCGGAACGGAGCATCGCAGAATTTCCTTTTCAGGTAAATTCCACATTGCCTAATAAGCCCCAAGCGACGTATCATTCCGCGCCGTTCCTACTATCAGCTATTATCGTTCGTGTCCTTGTCTCGCGAGTCTATACTTAGAGCTCCTTCTGAATCAATCATTAGCCTCTGCAAGATCTCGTGAGAGTTTCCACCATGGCATCTACCAAGGAAAATGATAACGAAGAAGAGCAAGCGTTCCTTCAATCCGGGGCGCCCCAGGAAGATGTTGCTTGGTCTCGGGAAGGACGAGGCCCTCGCAAGTCAATACGGTACTTACGACTCGCACTAGAGATTGCAATGGCCGTCGTCATAATTCTACTGTTAGGCAATTTGGTTTACCAACGAATAGATGGCAAACAAACTCCAGTTCCGAATTGTACCTATGCTCCCCTTCACAGTATAAGTTAATGGCAACAAGATCCTGACTGATCATGCCTTAAGTTCCCCGAAAGACGTACGTGTTCCTCCCAGATGCTAAATACGTACGCGACGACATGCTCTTCGACGAGCATGACACCCTCCATACTCTTCATAACTGGATACCGCTGAGTGCAGGTACGTATATTCATCGATCAGCTATCTGCTGGAGATCCTATTTGTTGATATTAATTGGCATCTATAGACGCCAGGGGCTACGTGCAGATTCCCGATTATGAAGCCTACGATATTCTCGGAAAACCCCATACAGTAGCCATCAACCGGACGTCTGACGGACCCGCATACATGATGTCGGTTTTCCACCAGCTTCATTGCTTGTCCTATATCGTCGAGCATTACCAGCAAGGATACGCCGGCGTCAAATTAACGGAAGAGGTAGCCCATCACTCGTCACACTGCTTCGACTACCTTCGCCAATCCATCATCTGTTCCGCGGATACCAACTTAGAGGGAGAGTCGGAATATGGCCCAGGCTGGGGATCAACGCATGAGTGCGCCGATTACGATGCTGTGCTAGCTTGGGCAAACAAGCATTCAGCGATGAAATGGAGGAATGGTCTTCTACCGGAAGATTCTGTACTATAATTCAAGTTTGTTGGTTCTTGGCTTGGACAAATTGTACATATGATCATCGAGCTACCTCCTATTATAAACCCGCGCATGCTAGGAAAAAGACAGGGCGGGAAGCGTGCGTCAACAGAGCTGTGTAATATTGCAATAGTGAAGCAGAAGCCTGTTATAGAAACGTACGGGGTTATATTCACGTAGCAACTCAGGGGCTGCTAGTACATCCACCGGTTGCCAGGCAGCGTGGTGCATCCGAGGTTGACTTAAATAGTGCCTTAGGCAACCACTCTGCCATCTCTTATCAGATGCTGCAAACCCAACGTGGCCGTGGTCGAGCGGTTATTTGAAGTAGAGCCAGAAATAATTCCTCGAGGAGTTTTTCGTAGGGCTCAGGTTCGAATCACTGTCGGGGCGGCAGTCAGGCCAACTGTTCAGGTCAATCGAAAGTGGTTCGAATTCTGGGTTCCAAGCTTTTTTGTCTCCTTTACCTTGTAAGTTTTTTCTTGCTCCTACTCCCTTTTCTAGACGACGAAACGAAATCTTTAAATTAATTAGAAAACCTGCAGGACCTTAGGTACCTACCTAACCCAACGTATAGCATATACATTTACGTTAGGATATAGTCCGTAACGACCATCCAACCGAAACACCATTGTGTACTTCTCGTTATATGGTATATGATTCTTACATTCTCGAACTTAGCGGAGACCATTAAACGGAAACTCACCTAAAACATACGCTTATACCTAATGTTCCAACACACATGGCTATCTTATTTGAGATTCGAATTTATTATAATTAGATGGGAAACACCATGTTGTTACTTTTAACCTATAAGTTCATATCAAGGAAATATTTGATCTCGGGGATTCATTATATAACCATACTCATGCATGATGATGTATGAATTCGGGAGTAATAACAGAAGGAAGAGGGAGTTAGAAGACAGATCTGTTTAAGCGAATATATATATAAGCATAATATAATATTATTAACACTTGTCGATCAGGCAGTGGTTTATGTTGATTCAACAGACCGACTTGTTGTCTTGCCAAATCACCGCATTTAGTATTTTTCATATCTACAGCTTCAAAAAATGCCTAGTCAATCGTTCATAACTCTATAATTATAGCGACTATGGACATCGAGCGTGATTGTATCGTAAGCGCTGAGAGTTATGAGAAGTTCGAGCTCAACCACAAACGCCGTAACGCCAATCGAAGAGTCCAAGATTTCATTGATCGCGGTCTGATGAGCAAGGGTATGTGGGACCTACACTGCGGCGCCGAGATCCATGTCAACTCTAACTCACCTTAGATGCTGTGTATCAGAGGTATACGGAATACCTTAAGTATAATATAGGCACTAGAGGAGATGAATCTTTAGGGGAGAACATAAGACAAGCATTCTATCAACTACGTGACCCGGAGATAGGGTGTAGGTAGCTATACACTAGAAGGATACTCGATCATTAGGACTGACAATTAACCCTCGTGTAGATCTCTCACAGAATAAATTCAAGCACTTATTTGAGAAAATATTACCTACCGCGTCTTCAGGTGTTTCGGCAATGCTATTTGATATCTTCAGCTGGCATGCCTTCTTCCCCTTTCCACCAATATATACCGCCTCGGGAGAGCTCTGTATAGATGAAGATGCTTTCATTCGCGCTGTCTGTCAGCTGGTGTGGACTTGTCCGCAGCGGGCGAACTCTTGCCGCCGTGTTGTTACGGGAAACTGGGGACCACATTTCGGCTGGCTCGTTTCGGTTCGTAGTATAAATATCAGCGATTGTATGAGGGGGTTATTCCGAAGTCTTGCTATTCCGAATAATACAAAAACAGGCATTGAAACAACAATTCTGGTCCCCCGGTTCTTCATGTACCAACCGCGGCAAGACGAGTTGTATTCTGGAGATGATTCCGAGGATGAAGCTCTGCAGCAACAGATGGTTGTCGTTGAAAAAGAGAGTGAGCGAACGATAGACATCCAAGATATTCTCTCAGAGTATCCCCCAGATCAGCATCCCATGGTAGGGAACCCGTTACGAGAAAGCTATAAGCTAGCCCTACCGTTCCTTCCACGTCACCCATACGATCTAACTGACCTTCACGTCCCAACCATGAAGGTTCTGAGTCTCTGCACCTTGCTCCATGTAACTGATTTAATAACCTCGATTGAGAGATCGGGCAATGAAGGACTTAGCTGGGAAGTGTTCGACACCATGTTGAGTGAGCATGCGGCAAGTTATCCCTTATCTGTATCCGAGTAATGTTTTGTTAATTTTTTCCAATAGAAGCTGATCACAGATACTCTAGCGCAAGTATTCTCAGTATTCAAAGCTCCGATAGATAGAACTGCATTGTGATATTATGAGCTTGAAAGTTGAAATGTAGATATAGGGATTTCAGCAGGTTAGATAGGAGTTGCTGGTTAGTTTCATAATACCAACATTTCCATATTCATTTCCATATTGATATAACGGGACATCTTACAAAGCTAGCAGGGTACCTTAGGTACTCTAGCGCTACATTGGCGCATGTATGTACCTAGGTACGCGTCACATAGATTAATTACATGTACCCAAGCCCCACCAAACGCGTCCCTCTACGCGTTCGCGCGTCTTCAATTTACATTCGCATTCACATTTAGTGTATGTGGACTTACCCTGTACAATTATACAAGGGCCAATTTTAGTATGGTATATCGAAGCAACAAGACACATCAGTGACCTTGAAGCTATCAATTCTAGAGAACTCAACTCAATTGAGCCGTTAAACATGATATCTGCTTCGTCTCCCGTCATATATCCAGCCAGCTCCTCCCCAGTGGCAGCGGCAAAGCGCACGAAACCACATCCTGATCCCAACCCTCGATCCCGTGCGAAAACCGGCTTCCTCGTTGACGATGACTCCGACGATGAAGATGTGCTGCCAGAGCCAGCAACGAAAAGACGGATGCTTACCAGCCCTAGTGACCAAGCAACCGTAGAGTATACCGAGCCATCTTCACCTCGGTCAACAATTCCCAATCTTGACTTTAAGAAAGTGAGTTCGGTACCTCCCGACACCATTTCACAGCCGAGCGAAGACGTCAATAGGAGCCAGCCTTCTATAACGAGCACGTTGTTCCAATCGGGCAACGTATCCTCTATATTTGAACGATTTGCCTCTCGTCAAGCGCAAAGCACATTTAAGATCACTACCTGTTCAGGTAATATAGTCAACGTCAAGCAGCGGAAGACCAATGCTGGGGTGTCTTATGAAAGGATAGTTGCCGCGCGGTCGAAAACAAAAGAGGGTCGAGCAAAGAAGAGTTACTATGGCATCGAGATGCACGAGATAATAGAGGCTGCTTCTAAGGAACTCGCCAATAGGACTTCGGGTTCTGATATAGTTTCGGATCAGCCGATAACTTCCGTAGAAGCTGTCAAGAAACCGAAAAAGGCGCTCTTGTGGACTGAGAAATACCGAGCGAGGAACTTTACAGACTTAGTGGGCGATGACCTTACGAACCGGCAAGTCTTACGTTGGCTAAAAAGATGGGATCCGATAGTTTTTCCGGGAACAGCAAAATCGAGGACTGCTACGAGACGACTAGGCGCAAAAGCGGGAGCCGAAGAAGAAAAGCCGCACCGGAAAATCTTGATGCTCACCGGCCCTCCTGGACTAGGGAAAACCACGCTCGCTCATGTTTGCGCGAAGCAGGCGGGCTACGAAGTAATGGAGATAAATGCTAGTGATGACCGCAGTCGGGATGTCGTTAAAAACAGAATTCGCACCAGTTTAGGGACGGAAAACGTCAAAACTGTGCAGCAAAAGCCCCAGGATGGGAAACAACAAAAAGTTGCACGTCCCGTGTGCGTAGTTGTTGACGAAGTTGATGGTGTCGTGACCGGCTCTGGTGGTTCTGGAGAAGGTGGATTTATTAAAGCCCTTATGGACCTGATTACGCTTGGAGAGAAAAATGCATCCGGGCAAGATGACACTTCTCAACAGTCAGGGCGTCGTAAAAAGAAAGGGGATGATTTCCGCCAAATGCGGCCTCTTATTCTAATCTGCAATGATATTTATCATCCGTCACTCAGACCTCTACGGCAGTCAAATCTGGCTGAAGTTATCCACGTTGGCAAACCTACTATTGACGCGGTTGTGACTCGTCTCAAAACAGTGTTCGAGAAAGAGGGTATTCCGTGCGAAAAGGACGCCGCGAGAAAGCTATGCGAGGCAGCATGGGGCATGAGCAGTGGTATGGACGCAAAGAAGGGCGCAGAGAGCACAGCTGAGGGAGATCTACGAGGTATTATGGTCGTGGGCGAATGGGTTGCGGGCCGTGTCAGGTCTGCGTCGCCCAAAGGTCCACTGAGTTTAACACGGCAATGGGTTGAACGGAATATCGTCCATGACCTGTCCCATGGCGGTGGTGGTGCAAGAGGCGTAGGGCGTGGTAACGTAAGGGATATCGTCACGCGCATCTTTCAAGATGGCGCTGGGTTCCCAAAGAACAACGTACTCATCACGGCACCCGTCTCGAAATTCCAAAGCGAGCAGCCGCAAGCACAGCTGGGGTTCTCAGAGCAGCAGAAAAAATACGGGATGGAGCGCCTGAGAGAGATGGTCGAGACTAGCGGCGATGTGGACAGAGTAATGACGGAGGTCTTTTTGGACTATCCGAACCACGAGTTCAATGACGACTCATTCCTGTCTAAGCCCGACTGCGCTTACGAGTGGATGCATTTCCACGACGCGTGTTCGTCGAGGTTGTTCGGAAGCCAAGACTGGGAGTTAGCCCCTTACCTTAGCCAACCTATTCTCGCATGCCACCATTTATTCGCATCGCCCATCCGGCGCGCCAATCTAGCTTACAACCAGAAGTGGGGCGGGGGTAATGCTGAGGATGATGCTCCGCCGCTACCTTTCTCAGGTCCGAGAGCAGACTTCGTCGCTCGCGAGACCGGGAAGGAGAACCGCGCGATACTCCAAGCAATGCAGGCCCAGCTACCGCCGACGCTCATGCGCTCTTTCCGCAGTGCTGAAGATATTGCCACGGACTTCCTGCCATATCTCATTCGCCTTGTGTCTCCAGATGTGAAACCCGTTGTCGTTGGGGGTAGTGGGGATCAACGGAGCACGGCAAGTGTCCGGAAGGACACAGAGAAGGCTATGGTAAAGCGAGCCGCTGATGTGCTAGCCGAAGTCGGCATCGAGCTTCAAAAGGGGAAGATAGAGAGCGAGTCCCCCTTCAGTAGAGGTCCGGAGTGGGTTTACCGCATGGAACCGTAAGTCCACAACGCCAAGTTCTCGGGATTGATGATTGATTACTAACAAACCTACAGCGACCTCGACGTCCTCGCCACTTTCGAAACATCTGCGGCCGTCATGCACGGCACACAAGCCCCGACACGCTACGCCGTGCGGCAGGTGCTAGACCAGGAATTACAGAAAGCTAAACTGCAGCGGGAGAAGTTGGCCCGACAGGCACGCTTCCGAGGCAGCGACCTGCACGGCACAACACCTGAGGACACCTCCTTCATATTCAACGACAACAAGGAGAATAATAAGACATCGAAAGTGCCGGGGTTACCTATACTCGGCGTGAAGAAGGACTTCTTCGGACGCGTCATCGAGAAGACAGATCCTCGCCCTCTAAGGGAGACCGATGCCAACGGTAGGCCTAGGAGCAAGGCCGGCGGAGAAGGGCAAGAAAAGGGCGAGGCTAAGATCTGGGTTACGTTTCACGAAGGCTTGAATAATGCCGTGAGGAAGCCTCTATCGTTAGATGAACTGCTTAGGGGTCTGTAATAGGTGCATACTAGCGGTTGACGTGTTAAACGATTTGGGGTGGGGTTATGGCATTAGCTGGGGCGCATGTGTATGGTGTTCAGGTTATAATGGCATTTTCACAGTTGAATGAAACTCGGCGCTTGTTTTTAATGATTCACCCTTAACTGGTCTTGGTCTCAACTAGTTCGTTTTATTTCCGATAGTGAGAAATAGAGCTCGTATAGCCAGCGAATCGCGGATCGCATACTATGATATAATCTGTTCGTTATAGATGGTTTATTTGATATAGACATTATACATAGAACATAGCTCATCAATTATACACCAGGTTAGTTAGAGCAAGAAAGACGCACCACCCACGTCCAGACAGGTGCGGAACCCTCCGCCAGCGCAGTTATTGCCTACCTAGGCTCTCCCTCGGCCTCCTCTCCCATCTGCTCCAGCACACTCCGGAATACCTTGGCCTCAGCCTCCATCTCCTCCTCCGTCCGCGGATGTCGCTCCGAGTCTTCGATGCTGGGGAAGCTACCGCCGGGTTCGGGTCGCTTACCCAGCCGCTGCTGGAGCTTCTTTAGTTCGCGATCCCATCTTCGGTTTATCATTCATTAGTATATAGGTATATAGGTTAGGTAGGTAGGTACGCTTCCTTTCAGACAGACAATAGGTATATATAGAGAGAGAGGGAACGAGGGGAGTAAATAGGGACAGAAGAGAACAAACTTACAACGCCCCGCCGACGTTCCCGTCCTCCGCAGCCATGGCCTCGTAGATCTGGTCGCCGGGCCCAGCTTCATCCTTGGCGGTGGACCCGCGGATGCGCGGGATGACGTGGACGTGGACGTGGGGGACGGTCTGGCCCGCCTCGGCGCCGTCCTGGATCGCGATGTTGAAGGACCCGGCCTCGGGGGTGCCGGGGGCGGGGGCGGCGTTGTCGTCGCTGCTGCTTTGCCGCGAGGGGGGAGATGATGTGAAGTAGTGCCGCGCTAGCATGCGTTGTACGCGCTGCACGGCTTGGAAGAGATCGGTTATCTCGGGCGCTGTGAGCTCTGTTAACCGCTTGTGCGGTCGTCGCGGGCAGATCAGTACGTGGCCCGGTAATAGAGGCTTGATGTTGACGAGGGCGAAGGAGTGCGGTGTTGTGAGGAAGACCTGTGTGTGGTTAGTTAGTTTGCTTGGTAGAGGGGTGAGTTGTGGCAGATGGGATTTATTCGTCTATTCCTTGGGATTCATCTCATTCTTATTTTTCTCTCATGATGCTTGACTTAGACCGGGTCACAATAGCGGCACAGCTATATATAAGTTGACTCACCTGACGCGTGACCTCAAACGGGCCAAAGTGAATCGGCCCAGTTGACTGAGAACTCATGTTTCGTTTGTGAACGACGTTTCTGAATATGAGATTGACTATTGAGATGTAATTTCGTTGCATGGCCTGAGCGAGTGACATTCCATAGAGGGTACTATTGCTTAGCAGCCATATTATATATAAAGTGTGTAGACTGCCCTGCCGTTAAACAAGGAATGCTTTAGATTCCAGATTCCAACGTCGTCTTGGCTCAAGTCTTACTACGATGAGGTGTAAACCGACCAGAATCGAGTGACGCTAAACGTGATACTTAATTTGCTTACTTGAATATAGCATGGATAACTGCATATCTCATTGTTTAATCCGCAATATATGGTTTGCGCGGTACCCCGATAATGAAGTTTGTTTAGTAAACATCGTCATTGAGCTTATGACGTCGATAGTCTTTTTATTTGAAGTTTGAGTATCATATGTCATCTCCTTTTAACATAATCATTGATAAGTCTCTAACTTATATGTTTCTTCCCCCTTACTTTATTTAACTAGACGACTTAGGACCAATACAACCCAATTTATTAGCACCGATAAATATTTATTTTCATGTAGTTATATCCTCCTGTCTTATCTACATGTATGTTCCGGTATAGCATCATCTTAAACATGTACCATTTACAATAGAATAAGCTTCTACATACAACAAACAAGCACATCTTATATCCGTACAAATAGGCGCGCATCCCCATTTACCGCTTACTAAACGACCTTGTTTTAACTACTCCCACGAGTACCATTAAGATACCCAAGCAAGCGTGATACTTGCATAACTCAATTAGATTAAAGACGGACATGAAGATTTTTATTGTCTTTAAAATAAAGGCCTATCGCCTATCGCCTATACTTTCTTCTTTTATTATATGCCGTATGCATAAGTAATTCTAATTGCTACCATTGGCGAGGTCGTATGGAAACTAGATCGCCAGAGGACTAGGTTTTCAGCTCGGTGGACCCGATGGCAACTTACGAGGCCTTGGCCAGGGATCTTTTGTCTTTACCATCATAATTTGAAATTTATGCGTCCTCGGGATTGTAAGTTCGCTACCTATGATATAAATGCTAGACGCCGAGCATAGGCTATTTGCTTCGCATTTTATTTCGTAAGTTAAGATGGCAGAGTCAGCTAAAGGGCGTCGTTGAATTGAGCCTTCTAAGCTTGAGGATGATTGATACAACATCTTATTGGCTTATTCCGCGTCTGATTTTGTGGAGAGTTCGTGAAGCATCTTCGCTATCTACATAAGACTTGGACCACCTGCATACCGCATCCGAAGCGGTCACCTCATCGCAATTGGCGAATGAGAAATAAGTACAGCCCTAGCGGTCACAGTAGCTTTCTGCGAGCCGCAAGGTGAAATTTATATACACCAATGCGAGGACGGGAGGGCGCGGGAAGGTCGGGGAAGTTGTGTAAGACTCGAAAGGGGACGGCGGAGTGGGTGGTATGATATTACCAACTAACGAGGAAACTTTTATGTAACAGTATCATTCAGTATCATTCTTAGTGGGCTCATATGACATATAAACTATTCATTAGTGAATTATAACGCAATTGTCGTTATCTTTCCCCAGATTTTCCCGCCATATAATTGACAAAGACTTACACTAGACGGGATTCCTCTGCCGTTCCCAATTTTAACCTTCTTTCGACGTCGAAAAGAGAGCCTCGAGCATAAGGCAGAGGAGACGGCTATACATATCTTTAACCTAGAAAAGTTCTTGTTATAATAAGTTAGCTCCGATACGCTGTTCATACCAAGGAACTATATTATTGTAATTAAAAAAGACGAGGAGGTCGTCCATGACCCTCACGCCACAGAATGCAGATGACAGCTGCCTCATAAATCAAACTGTCCCGACGGGGGTCATGCCACTTCCGTCGGAGTACCTTGACGAAAAGAAGCAACTTCCCAATACCAATTCTATATCTAGCCCCGGCGAGGACAAGGAGAGCCAGAGAGGACGTTCTCGTTCCATCGAGGATGCAACCGCGGCATCGCCATCCTCTTCATCGTTAAATAGGGGCAACAGTGATGACGACGATGATTTCCCTGAAGGCGGCCTAGCGGCCTGGCTCGTAGTTGTCGGCTCCTTTTGCTCCATGCTTTGCCTGTACGGTCTTATTAACTCGGTTGCCGTTTTTGAATCGTACTTCTCAACACACCAGCTCGCCGGCTACAGTCCCTCGACCATCGGCTGGGTCTTTAGCGTATATCTATTCATCGTCTTTTTCTTTGGCGTCCAGGTCGGTCCTGTTTTTGACAGGCACGGTCCCAGGTTACTTATCGCCGTCGGTAGCTTGCTAGTCGTCGCTAGTCAGCTCATCCTAGGGCTATGTGAAGGTGAGCGCCCCATTGAGGACCCCCTATGTTTATCATACCTATATCTATTAGTAAAACATGTGCTAAATAATTGAATAATAGAATACTACCAGATCCTCCTCACATACGCGGTCCTTGGGGGTATAGGGGGTGCTCTTCTCAACGTGCCTGCCTATGGAGTGATAGCACACTTCTTCAAGAGACGTCGTGGCTTGGCTGTTGGTGCCGCTGCAACAGCGGGGTCTGTCGGTGGGATTGTGTTCCCCCTCTACCTCCAAGCTGTCATTCCAAAACTTGGCTTTGCGTGGAGTACGAGAATCATCGGTTTCATACTTCTGTTCCTATCAGTCATAGCCAACCTCCTCGTGCGCTCTCGCCTACCCCCAAGTATCCACCCAATACGCATCTTACCGGATTGGACCCTCTTCAAAGATGTCAAGTTCACTCTATGTTGTATCGGCGTCTGGTTTATGGAGTGGGGGATTTTTACCCCATTGACGTACATCGTTTCGTACGCCGCAGCTCATGGCCAAGATGCCAACGCTGCATACACCCTCCTCGCGATCCTTAACGCCGGGTCATTCTTCGGTCGCTTCCTCCCCGGATTCCTAGCAGACCGCTTCGGCCGCTTTAATGTCATTACAATAACGAACGCGCTGTGTGTCGTCACTATCCTCGCTTTCTGGCTGCCCGCCGGTGATTCGCATGCCTTGCTCATCGTTTTCGCCGTCACTTTTGGGTTTGCTTCCGGAAGCAACCTGGGTTTGTACCCTGTGTGTATCGGCCAGCTTTGCGACGCCCGCGATTATGGCCGTGTTTATTCTACGGCGGTTATGGTTGGCAGTTTCGGTACCCTAACTGCCCTTCCTATCGCCGGCGCACTCTTGGGGATCGGCAGCGACGAGCGTCAAGGCTGGTTGGCGCTGATTCTCTTTGCGGCGCTGTCGTATGCTATCGCAACGAGCTGCTTCCTGGGAGCCCGCGTGTTGGCTGTCAGTTGGAGAGTGAAAGAAGTTTATTAATGCTCTGATGCCAGTTTCATTGTGACCTGGGATAGAATTAGAGGGAAAATGCAAATGAGTAGTGGGTATCGTGGTATATAAAAGCTTGGCGCTTCGGGTAGATTGATGTAAGGCAGCACTAAATTCAGGATCGGGAGTGATATGTGAGATCTGTATTATTTAAGTATATTCCATTGCCGCGCGTGGGTTGGATTGTGTCTATAGATTCGAATCCTTAATAAAGCTTGCTACCCTCAGGCGTAAGACTACCCAAGTATTTAACAGACGACCGCCCAAAGTATACAAACAACAGTATATAACATTATCCAAAGTTAGCCAACATTACACCAGATTATACATATGTTGGTGTAAGGCAGGCTGAAGATATCCGTGGCGGGACCGGTTCCAAAATATCAATGTACCTACACGGGTATAATATATATCATTGGAAATGTCATATAGATAGGGGTGGTCATATAACTCGAGACGCCAACGATTTTTAATTTACGTCTTTCCTGTCGTATATATACAAGGCTGCCGTATGTGATATTATATCGATACAATAATTCGTTTAAACCCGTGGTAAGGAATCGCCGATAATCTCTTCGTCAGACATAACATTTGGGTCCTGGGTATCACCGGGGATTCGAACCGGGACCGCAATATAGCCGTCATCTTTCAAATGCACTATCAAGAAAATTAGCTTCTATAGCCTTAGGAGATCAAGGTAGAGTGAAACTCACGATGAGGTCTTACGAAGAAACTTCCGAGTATCGCTAGTCCGAATAGTGAAGCCAGTAGGACGAAGAAAGCCTGCGGGAAAGTCTCGACCGTTGCAGCATAGACGCCGTTGAAAAGCGCGGGAGCAATAACCCTTCCGAGCGCATGTAACAAGCCAATAGCTCCCAGTAGGGAGCCCACGCGCTGAGTTGGAACATGCTTTGTGATCGCACTTTGGATAGTGGCACTTGCTAAGCCACCAAATGCGGTAGCCAGACCGCAGAGGACAAAAAACTCTTCTGAGCGCACAAATATGTAGCCGCAGATACCTACGGCATCACTGAGGAGAGCAAAACGTAGGAGCCATACATCTAGATTATCGGCCCCGGAGCTCTTCTCGATCACATTTACGTCGCCGTTCTCACGCCTTCGGCGACGTAGTGGCAGGACGCGGAATACGTAGTTGATGGCTGGAAGTATGAAGAGGAGGATTACAACGCGCGCCAAGCTAACCGCTGATACAAATTTCGAGGCTTCTGGAGTGTCCCAATGGAATATGTGTTCAGAGTAGAGTACAATAATAGTACCAGCACCCATCGCAGCAGCTAGGAGCATTGTGTCGATAAGAGCAAGAATAATTAGGTTCCGCCGCAGGGGACCATTATCCCGACCACTGGGGACCAGTATCTTTAAGGGAGCAAATGGGTTGGCGCTCAGAATTGCGGGGAGCCAAGTTCCCATGTGATCGTCGACAAAAGAAGCAGCCCGTGGCCCAATGAAGACCTGAACCGTATCTGGAAGTCCGGATCTAAGCTCAATGGCTGCAGCTTCGTTTTCGGCACGATGCTTCTCGCGTGCGGCCAGCTGACGTTTCTTTGATATTGACTCGGGAAGAATAAACCAGAAATATAGAATGACAGTGGTGTGGCAACCCAGGACGACATAGAATATCGATATTAACGAACCCGTCCATTTGACGAAATAACCGGCAAACAGAGGACCAAACGCCAATCCGGTGAATAAACAAGCATGTAGATAGCCAATGTGTACTCCGCGCTTGGATGGAGGTGCGCAGTCACTCGTATACGAATTAGTTAATATGCTACCCGCCGTAAAGGAACCCGTTATGCCATCGAAGAACGCGCCTAGGACCAGCCATTGGTAGCTGACGGTATCTGGGAACTTTGCAGCCAAGATAGTGATACACTCGTTGACTAAACCACCACATGATGCCATCACCATTAGGCGCTTTCGGCCGTACCGATCAGATAGTGCTCCTACCTTTGGTGCTGTGATGGCGCTTAAAGCGCCGGTAAGAGCACTTAGTATAAGTGTGAAAGCGGCGACCTTTTTTTGAACGGGGCCGCTGGTACATAAATCATTACCGGCGCCTAACGGCCCCAGCGGGTTTATAAAATTCGGTTCAAGCTGCTGGCGGTCGGTGAAGTGAGTACGACATATTAACTGGACAATTCTAAATAGAGTAATGTTTTGGTAAGTGATTATTGTTAATGGAAGTGCGCTGGAGTTGTACGGCTAAACTTACAAATTGAGCTTCGGCACGATGATACCGCCAAATGCAAGAGAAAATAGGAGATACGGTGCTAGAAGCCAATACACCTAATCTCAAGTTAGTTGTTTGAGTGTTTGAGTTTCCTTGCATCTCATTCGTATACAACGTACCGATGGTGTTCGCCACCATGGGAAATCGGCGAAATCTTCGTGTCCTATCCAGCTCTCTTGGCTCTTCCCGCTCCCGTTCTCGTTGTCTTCTGTCGCATTATTACTTGCGCTTGCGCCGACCAGCGGACTTGTTTCCGTTGCTCCCTCCCATTGGTCTTCCTCTTCGTCTATCAGTAAGATCGGCCTACTATCTCTTTTAACGGGTTGCGCATTGCTCGTCATTTTGGTTGCGGGCCTGTTGCGCGACTACGGGCTAGTTCTAGGAGCTGTTCAACAACTCGAATATCTAGCACCGCTAAATATGACACAATGAACCGGATATGCCGGAGTATTCGAGGAGCTCCGTAGTGTGACCTAGTACCGATCGACGGACTCCGGAATGCTTTGCTGATGCGCCGTTACATTAACTAGAACGCCCGAATAGAGAACTATATAATCAGCTGTAAGGCGACTCCTCTGTTCTAATGGTATGTTTTATTCGGAACCCGATGGAGGCCTGTCATTGATCTGAAGGGTTTAGGAAGAGGGTGTGAGAGAAGGTGGAGTGAAACTCCATGCCGAAAGTTATCTTATAAGTGTTTAAGATACCATTGGTTGGTCTACGCTGATGATGTGTTAGGATGTAGTTAGGATTCCAATTAGAGCTTGGCTTTGCTTAATCTCGGATGTCTCGACAATCCAACGGCCGAAAAGTGCCAGCGCTAAGCGTTAGAGAAAGTGATGCGAAAGTTACGTGTGGGTTATATTGGACTTATCTATCAGTTGAATCCCGTATGTTTGGGATTGGGTGGATCGATAGATCGATGGATCCGTTCTTTCCATCCCATGTCATTAACGTGGTATTACTACGCATTATGCGAACTCTATGTTGAGTTAGTATTGGATAAGAGGTGGCTCTTTTTTCATTATGCGCATACTTGATTTATTATGCATCATTATACGCTAGATCTAATCAGGGCAATAATGTCCCTGAATATGTACAATGAGCTATACTTACATAGTACTTCGTAATCTTATCTTTTATCCCGGATCTTAATCCTTGCGCTGATGTAAATCAAGAGACGTACGTACCTAATGTACATACGCAGTTCTCATGGTAAAAAGTGACCTAGAGTGTATACTCCTAGTATACGAAGGCACTGTTTACTAAATTCAAATCAAGTTCAATGTTTGTTAGACCAACTACGTAATTAGACACTCATTGGAGGTGGGAGACATGCTCAACTTATCGGGGTTATCGCCAGCAAATCGATGACGCAGATGCTCGTGGGGTGCAGGAATTCGGGGTCCAGCAGGACCCGACAACCGGCAGATTTCCAAGCTCCAACTCAACTTACATAACATACCCCTAATATACCACAACTCATAGCTAGGCGTGTATGTAAGAAACAGATAAAGGGAATTGATTTAACTACGTTAGGTAATATATAGCACTAAAGCTTCTTGTCACATGTATTGATATGAATATAATTGAGTTTCGAACGTGGTTTATTCATATACGTTAATTAAGTACCTAGGTACATAAACTGGGAGTCGTTAGGTTCATTCAATAAAAACTGGTTGATTTCCAATCCAACGCAATTTGTATAACACACCCCAATAAATAAGTACCTTAGGATGTAGTTGGCCAATACCATAGAGGAGATAGTTTTTGAATCACTCTTGGCTACCGAAAAATTAGTTACAAATGTATTGATGTTTTAATGAGTACGATGATTCTCGAGAAAATAGTTGCATATCCTATACTGCAAAGGCATTTTCTGGCGAGGCAAAGAACTTCTTCGACTCGGCACATCGCTCACTCTTGCAACCAGGACACCTCAGGCCCATCTGGTACGAGCATGCAACGCCACTGTCCAAGTGACTCTTCGCAAGGTTTGCGAGAGCATCAATAAAGATGGGATTGCCGTTAAGACTTTCTACTCGTTTAACTGTGTCCGCGTGGCCGGACTCTCCTATTACCTCTTTGTCGAGCTCAAAGAGCGTTTCGATATGGTCAGAAGTAAACGCAATGGGGATAAGAACGAGGTCTTTCTGCCCCTTGGCGATATATTCCTCAACCGAACTCTGGGTTTGAGGACCTAGCCATGGTTGAGGACCGACTTGCGACTGCCAACATAATCTATAAGGATTAGAGAACTTTAGCCGTTGCATGACGGCGTATACTGTTGCGGCAACTTCGGCGGGGTACGGGTCGCCTGATAGATTGTTAGTTAAGATGGCTTGAGGATAATGTGTATACTCCCTACCTCGATTAACTACCGTCATTGGTAAGCTATGGGCTGAGAATAATAGGACGACTCGGCCCCGTCGGTCTTCTGGATATTCTGCCAGCGTCTTCTCAATATTGCTAGCGAATGCCTCTACTAATCCCGGATGTACCGGCCACCTGTCAATGACACTCCATTGAATCGTACCGGGTCCGGCTTTCCCTTCTAATCGTTGCCGCCATTTCCATAGTTCATTGAGGCTGCTTCCTGTTGTAGAGCAAGAGTATTGAGGATATTGTGTGAATGCCACAGCTCTTCCCCCCTTGCCGTTTCCGAAGCCATCCGCTAGTAATTTATTGTACATTTCTTCGGTCAGAGGGTCTGCGTAGCGAAATGCGACGTAGGGTTTGTGGGGCGCTGTTTCAGGCGATATTCGGTCGAGAATCTTGCACATGTGTTCGCTTTGATATTCTGACCATTTTCGAATTGGGGAACCGCCACCAATCTCTGCATATTGCTTCTGGATCTTCGGAGTTCTTCGCTTCGAGATTAGGGGGCCTATATAGTTTTGTAATCTGCCCAATGGTATCAGATCGGCGTCTGCCTACTTATATGTTAGAGCTACGGTGAGATATATGGTACCATATGAAACAAAACGTACGAATAAGCGGCTTAGAAAGTCG